ATTCTCACAACTGGACCAATAAGCAGCATCATGATAAATGGAGAAAAGATTGATATTGTCAAAGATTTCATATTACTTAGTTCCAAAACCAACACCAATGGAAGCAGCAGTCAAGACATCAGATGACATACTGCACGGGGCAAATCTTCTGCAAAAGACCTCTTTCAAGTGCTGAAGAGCAAAGATGTCTCTTTGAAGACTAAGGTGCACCTAACCCAAGTCATGGTATATTCAATTGCCTCATATGCATGTGAGAGCTGGACAATGAATAAGGAAGAATGAAGAAGAGTTGATGCTCTTGAGCTGTGGTGTTGGTGAAGAATGCTGAAAGTACTATGGACTGCCAAAAGAACTAACAAATCTGTCCTGGGAGAAGTGCAGCTGGAATGCTCCTCGGAAGTGAGAATAGCCAGACTTTGTCTCACCTACTTTGGTCATGTTGTCAGAAGGGACCATTCCCTAGAGAAGGATAGCATGCTTAGTAAAATGGAGGGTCAACGAAGAAGGGGAAGACCCTCAATGAGATGGATTGACACAGCGGCTGCAATGACGGGCTCAGATATAGAAAGGATTATGAGGCTGGCACAGGACCAGGCAGTGTTTCATTCTGTTGTACATAGGGTCTCTATGAGTCAGAGACAACTCGACGGCACCTAACAACAACAACATTAAAAATTAATAGTTTGGGAAGCAAAAGGAAAGTTTTTTGGGCTGATGCTATTAACAACCTAGGTCATGAAATCTGTAATAATTTATAATTATTGTTAAACAATTTACAATTTACATAAATGTCAGTGATCTTCTTTAAGGTGCTAAAAATAAAGTATTCTAAAGAGAGTGAAGATTTCATCTTTCATTCATTCTATTGATTTCCAGGTTGTAGTACAATTTGAGATTTTTAGAAAGGACCTCCTTCAAATACAATAGGCAAGACAAGCCATAATACTTAGGAAGGTTAAATGAACTTTGAAGGCCCTTCAAAAATAAGTGGAAGAGTATATGTCTCTGACACCCCCACATCCTGAGTTGCCACCCTGGAGAGTGACACGAAGGTTGGGGCCTGTGGGGCGTGTTGGAGTATGCCCAGGCCTCAATCCGCGTAAGGTGTGTGTGGAAGCTGGCGCAGGGCAGAGGGGAAATCAGACAGAGGGCGGGCTCCTTTGGCAACCCAGCTTCAGTCTTCACATTTCCACCTACAGATGTTCCTGCAAAATGGCAATACCTGCCTTTGAAAAATGGCCAAAGAATGAGTCATTTGAGTGAGGAAAACTATGTTAAAGTTTAAAAGGGAAGGTTAATGTGAGATATTCAGATATAAAGAACAAATACGTGATTCTGACGGAAATGGTATTTGGGAGCATGCTTAGTCTGAGGTGCTGCAAATCTTTCCATCACGGTGAGTGATGAGGATCCCAGAAAGGGGCACAGTCCTCAGATATGTCAAAGCTTTAGTGTATACAGACTATCTCATACCAAAGCTTGATAAAATCTTAAAGATTAAGTACCTTCCTTTAAAGAAGGAAAATACTAAATAAAATATTTTCTAAATTAACCTGACAATCTCCTGGGTACCAATGCATTCATTACCAACTCATTCATTTTGTTACATTCCTTTTCACTTTTTTTTTTTTTGAGAGAAGGATTTCTAAAAATCTGATAAACAAGAGTTAAGCAACTTTGCTTTTGGTATTTTCATAGCTTAGATACGAGTTAGAGACTCCAACAAACTATCACTTGAAAACGGAAAATGTCAAACTACAGTTCCATTTTATAATGTTCATTTTACTGACTGGCATTGTAGACCAATATTTCTCAAATTCCAGTACATATAAAAAAAAAAAAAAAAAAAAAAAAAACCCATCCCAAACTCACTGCTGTCTAGTTGGATCCAACTCATAGCGACCCCTCCTTGGGTTTCTGAGGTGTTATCACTACGGAAGTAGATCACCTAATCTTCCTTCTGAGAAGTGGCTGGTGGATTTGAACCATCAGGCTTCTGATTAGCAGTCAAATACCTCAGGCACTATGCCACCAGAGCTCCTATCTATCTATCTGTATCTCTATCTATCTACCTACCTACCTATCTACCTACCTACCTATCTACCTATGCCAGTACAGATAAGTTGATATATTTTATATATAAATTACATATAATTTATGTATTATAAATATAAATCTAGTTATAAAGTAGATCTAAATCACAATATAATTTTATATATAAATATAATATCATTGCTATAGAGAGAGATGGGCAAACAAAATATTATCAATGAAAGATTATCATCCTACCTTTTGTGAAAAGGATGGACTCTCTTTTATTCTGTTATTAAGCCTTTTCTAGGGTTTTTCAGTTTTGGTGCCCCGCTCTCATTTATGAAAGGTAATTAAACATACGAAAGCTGCTACTGGTTGTTTTGTCCTCCTCCTCTTCCTCATTCTTCATGTTTTTATTTGGGAAAATAGTAAGCAATTCTATGCACCTCCAGGTTTTGGAGGGAGATGTGATCCATTCTTGTACACCCAAAGTGTGGGAACCACTTAGTGGATCATTTTCCAAAAGAGATGGAAGATTAAAACGGAAGACTAATTTTTGCCAGAGATTTATATGAAGGAAAAAAAAAAAAAAGTTGGAAGGCATGGATTTGAGTGTTGCTTCACAACATATCAGCTTCTGATTTTCGGGAAATAGATTACTCATGCTTCATGAGCCTTAGTTTCCTTACCTGGGACTAATACCTATCCACGTGATAAGGCACTATGGTGCCACAGTGGTTAAGCACTCAGCTGCTAACCAAAAGGTTGGTGGTTCAAACCCATTAACCACACCACAAGAGAAAGATGTGGCAATCTGCTTCCATAAAGATTACAGCCTTGGACATCCTATGGAGCAGTTCTACTGTGTCTTACAGAGTCGCTATGAGTTGGAATTGATTTGACAGCAATGGGGATTGGACCCATATGAGTGGAGGACTAAATGAAATACTCATGGGAAAACACTGTCTGAATAACAATTCCTCCCTCCTTCCAGACAGTTCTTCATTCTTCCCTTCTTCCTTTCCTTTCTCTAGTACACTTTTGATAATGCTATAATAAAAGCTAATAGTTATTAAATACTTTATTATGTAGGAGGCACCGTACTAAGCAATTTTTTCAGCATTTTTAATTTAGTACTTAAATCAACCTTCAGAGGTAAATACTCCTCCTCCATTTTACTAATGAAGAGATTGGATTCCAGAGAGCACAGGTAACTTGCTCAAGGTCAAGTGGTAGGGCTGGTATTCAAATTCACGCCTGCTTATTCTTTCTTCTACACTAACAAACGCTTAATTTGCTTTAATATCGACTAATCAGGCTTCTTCATACATTCCTTCAGATCAACTTAAATACTCCCATTTACATTCTCATTAATTACACATTTTTATTTGCTATCTTCGATCTCACTCTCGGTCTGCTTTCCCCAATCAACAAAAAGCAAACTACACACAGTGCAAAGGGCAAGTAAACAAATGCAACTTCTGGAGTACTAATATTTCTTTGTATTTCCCCACAGTCCTTCCTCAAGAAAGGGATGGAATAATGGCAGTCAAGACATAGTCATCCTCTTTTAAATCAACATGTATGACTCTTCATTTAGACAGAGATTGCTTTCCTAAGGTGCTATATTATATAATATATGCATGCTTTCAAAATAATTAAAGAGTCTAAGAAGTTCCACAGTAACTGTCAACCTTTTGCATATTAAAAAGGTGAGAGATTGGGCCAGGCTGGCATCAAGGTTGGGCTTCCACTCTGAAGTCAGATCCAGGTTGGGTCTTGGCTTAGTTAGTAACTTAACTTGTGTGACCTCACCTCCTCGACTGTTTTCTCAGTTGGAAATAAAACCAAACTCACTGCTGTCAAATCACACCCAGCTCATAGCAACCCCTCCTTGGGTTTCCGAGGCAGTATCACTATGGAAGTAGATTGCCCAACCTTCCTTCTGAGGAGTGGCTGCTGGGTTTGAACCTCCAGCCTTCTGGTTAGCAGTCAAATGACTTAGGTACTACACCACCAGAGCTCCCCAGTTGGAAATATGGGGCCATAATACTTGCTTGCTCAACTCACTTCAAGTGAATGAAGATTGAATAAAACACAGTAAGTGCCCCATAAATGTTAACATTATTTTGTTTTGTTGTTGTGTTATCATTACTACTTTTATGAGGTAGCTCATAAAATAGTGCATAAATTCTAATTTACTACCACATATCCCAGTATACAGGTAAAAATAGTAAGAAAAGCCTGTTTTTTAAAAAAAGTTATTAGCTATGGTGCCCACAACATTAAATGGCTGAATTTATCCATCTGAAAAATGATGATGAGTAATATCTATTGATTTTGGAATTACTCACACCACTAAGGGGTGCCTGGGGTTCCCTAAGTGATACTCAGGGCATCATCATAGCAACTTGGGCAGAGCAAATCCTCTAAGCGTCGTATTTCAAGTAGAGCCAAGCACTCAGCCACTGGCCTTTCCCGAACTCAAACGGCTACAGTGACTACAAACAGCACGAAGAGACTCGGGATACTTTCTGCCGAAAGGAGTCAACAGTTGAGCTGCTGATAGAAGCCAGCATTATTTCCCATTTTGAATTTCGTTGCTAAGCAGCCTTGCTCAGCAGCAAAATGGCTATTGTAAAGAAGCACAGATGGTATCAGAGGGCTTACGTCACAGATGTGAGTGTGTGTCTCTCGTCCTTGTGAAATATGCTTCAGCCTGGGCTTGTTCAAGTGCACGGGCTGGTTTTACAAGATTCGAGTATGTGCGTGTGTTGGTTCAAATGGTTCAATATGCCTAATTTTTCTTGATTTTTTTTTAATAAGACTGAAACATTAAAAATGTATTTTATTTATAGAGCCAGCAAAATGTGATATGAATTCATGAAAAAGTGAAAAGAATTAAGTTTAAAATGTGAAAGCTTTGATGCGTGTGTTCCTTTTTTTTTTTTAAAAACATTGCTTACCTGTGAAGATTTGGCAAGCTTCTGCGTATATTCCTTCTCAATCTGCTTCAGTTTGCTGTTGGCCTGAAAAACACACGGACATGAACACACACAGTGACCTGTGAGCGTGGTATCTCTTGCACATGCCTATCACCAGGCAGCTGGGACGGCTGCCAGCTGTCCCGCCCTCTGGGGCAACCGAAAACCACAGGGCTTGTCTTTGATCTAACGCCAACTATTCATCACTTAAAAAAAAAAAAAAAAAAAGATCTCTCCTGCCAATTATTAGACAAACACAAGACTTGTGTGGATGGAAAGAGAAAGGGAGAAGGAGTGAGAAATGGAGCAAAAGTGTGAAGACTCAGGAGATAAAGTGGGGGACAGAGAAGAAACGAAGGAGAAGGCAAAGGAACAGGGGAGAGAGCTGGAGGCGGCAGACAGGAAGGAAAATTCAATCCTCTCTCATTTGAGTTTAAAGCGTCTCTGTCTTTCACCTGAGTTTAAAGATAAAACAGATGTCCCCACACAAAGACAGACTGAAGATTGTGAAATTCACTGAGCAAGTACTTGCTGTTCTTCACGCTGCCTCACACCCATGAGCTATTTTTTTAAATGACCAATGTACAACAACAAAAAAGCAAACTTGGTGCCGCCAAGTGATTCCTAGAACTAGTGTGGCCTTTCCAGAAAATTCCATATTCCTTAGAACCAGATTATCTCCTCTGCCATTCAACATCTGATCCCTTCTCGACGCTACAAGCATTTGGGGTCTCACTCTCCCTGTAGTGTCTGGAAATGTCACAGTGACATGTCCTAGACTCGTCCTCTTCCACTCATCCCAGAGATACTACATAGGTCCCTTTAATTCAGTTTTGGAGCCTTCCTGTCTGGGGAAGGTTTTGGTCATCACTCTGATGGTTTTGCCTTTCTTTTTATCCTGGTCCCTATCTTTCTCTCTGCAACTTTGTTAGCCTCTCAAATTTATCATCTTTTTTTTCTTAATGTTTCTACTTTCCATTTCTCTGTCTCTTTGATCTTGCTTAGTGATTTCCTCAACTTTTAATTTTCAAATACAATTGGATTAAAAAAAAAAGCAATCAACTCTGTCATCACATTTGTAATATCCAAGAGTACTTTCTGGTTCTCTGAACACCATTATCATTACCTACCAAGGCACAGAGAGGTTAAGTAACTTGTCCAGCATCACACAGGTAGAAAGTGATGGAGCTGGGACTCCATCTCCAGAGCGTGGGTGCTTCACCAGAGAGAGTGCATGGCATAATGCCTCTCAACACAGGCCCCATTCTGTCTGAGGGATTTTTCCTGTTCCCTCCAGTATCTGTGTTTTTCTGAGTTCCTTTTATTTACTTTTCCCAGATGTTTTGGCCTCTGCCTTTCACCTTAGATACTTTCCTCAAATATCTGGTGACCTTTGGTGTTCCTTTTTTTTAAAAAAAAATTTATTGTGATTTGGGTGAAGATTTACAAAGCAAATTCACTTTCCATACAGCAGTTCACATATACTTTGTCTCATGTCATTGACCACAGTTTACCACAATGCAACAGCTCCCCTACCACTTCCTCC